ATTCTAAACTTAGTCGCTTAATTATTTAGCAATTAATAATTATTAATTTAATTCATTATTATTATTATATTATTCTTTATTAATGTCGGAGAACGGGCATTAAATACGCAGTTTCGGTCACGCCTAACTTTTCACGCAGCTTCTGCCCTTTTCGCGTTTTTCTTACTTTCAGCTTATGCATCTTCTATTCTCGCGCCTCTCGCAAACTATTTGGACGTGTATCGCGATTTACAATTTTTTCTACAATTCTTCCTCTCGCATTACTGTTCCCCTTTAGCCACCCCCGCTCCCACCCACCTCCTCTTCGTTCGTCCCTTCTAACTTAAAAGTTTGCTTCTATCTTTATTTTCCAAATGCATTTGGTGTTCTTTTGCTATTTTGTTCCCCGCTAGAAAATCGCGGTCAGTTATTTATTTTACTCTTCTGGTTTTTGTTCGACCGACCGCGCTTTCGCTAGAGCTCGAAGCCTCCTCGCTAGTTGGAAACCGTTATCCTTCTAAATCGCGATTCTCCCCCGTATATTGCTCGTGTGATGTTAAATAAGCGTCCCCATTCCAGCGTCCAGAGATCCTGGTTGGTCTTGCCAAGGCATTCACATCGCTCATTGTACCGTCAGTCGACCGTGCTGCGTTCTGCCCTTTCGTCCATCCTGATAAAAAGAGAAAACCGTGATTCGTTAACGATAAATCCCGACAACAAAATGATTCGCGAAGTAAAAAGATAACACTACTGACTGATGAGAATATGATAACTGTCTATAAATACGTACTGCGTAGGAGTAATTATGTTTTTCAAGAATTTGATACTAGAAATGTTTTAATATAGGATATAGATCTTTTGCTTTTCAATTAAAAGATCTGGCTAATGCCAAACATCATGGAGCGTGAGATAGTTATTATAGAGGATGATTTTAAAGCTAATGTCAGAGAGCGTGACTACGTACCTGTTATTAGGTCTTAACAAGGCTCAATGGTAGCCATTAGTGAACGCCGCTGGTATTAGTGGACCCTAGAATAGGAAGACAAAGATTTCATCGAAGCTCGCTTGCGACAGTCGAGAAAACATAATTTTAATAAGTTCTCATAAGAACTACGTGCAGTTGCGATACTTGATCCAGGAAGATTGCATCGATCGAACGAAAAAAAAAATTAATTCATTCGAGTTAAAAGTGAAAGAAGATATTAAAATTGAAGAACAAAAAGAAACAATTGTATAACGTGAGCGAGCTGGGAAGCTCAGCGTTTAGAGCTGGTTTGCAATCGAAGCTGCAGCAACGTAAGTTACAAACTCCAATGAAAAGAAAAAACTTGCACCATACCCTCGAATCTCTCAACTTTTCTTAATTCCT